GAATCCAGGGCCAGTGCTCTATCCACTGCACCACCTAGCTGCCCCTTGTCCAACCATTTTACAGAAGAGGAACCTGAAGTCCTGAGAAGGGAGGTGACTTGCCTGGTGTGACATACCAATAGAGAATGAGCTGAGACATCTATCTAGTTCTTCCATGAGCCATCTTTGGACAAATACAATTTTCTGTTCACTACCACTGAGCATGTTGTTGTGTTAGCTGTACTTTCAGGCGACTGCCCCACCCTTTTATCTATCAGTATCTGAGGTCACTTTGTTCTCCAGGGTTAGGCAGAGCTAGCTGGGCTTTTCTTTTCCCATTCCTTCCCCAGACAAGGAGCTAAGGCTGAAGGCAGCAATAGAAGGCTGCCATTTTGGGGGCTAGATACTGAGGTCCCTTGCAGTTCTAAATCTCCTATCTGCCCAGTCAGGCTGGTTGGCTCAGCCCTTTGAGAAATATCTCTGTAGAACTCTGTTCTCCCCACCAACTCAAGGAAGAAGTTAGTTCCCATCTGAGAGTCTCTGATTCCCTGGGGAAGAATTAGTGACCAGAGCTGGCCCCATCAGTCTCTTATTTGACAAAAAACGGAAGTTGTTTAATTAGACTGCATTATGTGGTAGACTGTATTTGATCAAGATGATTAATAGAATATTAATCATGGACTGATAGAAAACTATAAGCCCATATGCCATCTATTAGTTTTATTTATTAAAAAAAATTTTTCCCTAAACAAATATGCGCCTTCTCTCCTACCTCCTGAGGAAGCCATAAAGATAAAATCTTTGTTAGAAACATCCATGGTCAAGCAAGACAAATTCTTTCCCTGGTCATATCTAAATTGAAAACTGAGAGAAAAATTATGTCTCTAACTGCACTCTGAGTCAATCACTTATCACAGGAGGTGGGTAGCTTGTTTTATCATGAGTCTTCTGGAATCATGGTTGGTCGTTATGATGATCAGAGGTCATACAGGAGATGGTCTTTCAATCCTGGCTATTTCCTGGATCAAACCACAGCAGCTATGAGTGAAACACTAAAGAATCTGCTTCAGAGCTTTAGGAATCTGTTGTGCCAGGCTCCCATGGAGTCAGGGGGTTAGGTCCAACCACCTCTGTTCTGGAGTCATTCATAAAGGTACTTCGGTTTCTGAAAGAGAAGGGAGTGGCCAAAGTCCCTTTGGGATGGGGGAAGTACTTGAGAAACACTTGGCATTTTCTCCCTTTCTTATACCAGAAACAAGAATAGACAAAGGAAAGAAATGGCAAAAATCATCAAGGAGAGACAGTAAGATATAGTGGTAGGTACACTTAACTTCAAGTCAAAGGACTTGGATTTTAGATTTGAAATTGAGCTTTGCCACCCATTACCCACCTGTGTGATCTTGAGAAAGTCACTGGACCTCATTTTCCTCACATGTGAAAAATAAAGGTGATGCTACAGGCATTCTTAGCTCTAACATTCTATGTTCTAAGGTGTCCTCCACCTATATGATTAAATGACTCCAGTTTAGAAAATTTGAGGAGCTACTCTGCCCTACCCCCTAGGCCCAGGACCATAGTGATCTAGTCAGTAGCAGGATAAACAGCTTGGCCAGTCAAGGCCCTTTTATAAGCAAAATGGACTGAAGGTGCCCAGACCTGCTGGGAAGAAGAATCCAGTTGGACATTTCAAACCTTTTTTATTTGTTTTATTTTGTATGGTTTTTTTTTTTTTTAATAGCCTTGGATTCAGAACCACCTTATTCAGACCTGAGGAGCCTACAGACTGACTATCCAGGTCAAGAAAAACCTAAACTCAGGAGAGGAAGGGCAGGACAGTTCTGGCCAGTCAATGAGTGAAGTGCCCAATTCTGTTTTGTAAAGCTTCAAGTATTTTCCTCATAACAAGCCTTTTTCCAAAATAGAAAGCAGCAGTGTCTGGGAAGGGGCTTGAACCTAGTTCTCCTGTTTACCTAGGCGAAGTGTCTTTCTACTCTACCACACAGCCTCCTTTTGTGCACTGAACTTATCGCCTGACAATTTTCTTGGCTGAGGGTAGGGGGTGAGATGATGAACCAGCTTACCCCATTCGCAGACACCAATTTGTTATAAACTCTAGCCTGGCAAGCAGAGTAGCTCAGGGCTCCATGAACCTTTAGAAACTTCCCTGGGTAATCAACCAGCTCTGTTCTCTCCCTCTAATAAAAACTTAAGTAGAAGACCTGACAGACCAATCTAAATCAGCACTGTACAAAGAAGTTTACATTCATATTGTGCATTAAAGTTTGCAAAACACCTCAACCCATCCTTAAATCTGGTGTGCTTTTTGTCTATGTCTTTCCACACATCTCCCAGAAAAGGTTTATCTGAGATTCTGGAGGCTTTCTGTAAAGTGGGAATGAGATCAGACTTGCATTGACCATACCTTCTCATAGGTCATGAACTATCACTGCCAACCATCTGCCAGGACCCACTCCAGCACCCTACTCTCTCCCTCTTCTAAAATACTACAGAGTATTCTGCCTATCCCTGCCATCTGGCACTTACTGCACACCATGTACTATGAGTGATCTTACACATGTGTATATTGTCTCTTTGATTAGATGGATGGTTCCAGGTGTTATTACTTCTTCTAGCCTCTATTGATTGAGGCAAATAGGAGATTTTAGACTTAGTGAATGGCTAATAGAAAATAGGCTCTAAAGTCAGACACCCACATCTCTGGGATTGAGGGTGAGGAGGAAGCCTTCTCACTCCTGCCTCCCCTTCACCCTCCCCCCAACTCCAAATCAGGACCCATCCAGGGCTTTGTGAGTCCCTGGTGCCTAGTAGTTGTCTGCCCCTCTTTGGCCAGGAAAAGTGACAGATGCAAAGGTGGGATTGGCCTAATAAGCCCTAAGCCTCTCATTTCCTCTTCTATAAAATGAAGGGGTGGGGAATAGAGTTTCAACTAGATGAATTTTTAGGTCACTTCCAGATCTAACATCACATGATTCTGGCCAGGAAGGACTGCCTTAAATGACCCTCATCTTACACTCTGTTATGGGCTCTTTAATTATACTTAACCCAGTGCTAAACAGGCCTAGATTATAGGTATAACCAAGAATGACCAAGTTGGAAGGGACTTCAAGTCAGCAACCAGCTCAACCCACACATAAACAGAAATTCCCTCTATAACATCCCTGGTAAGTCACCATCCAGCCTCCATTGAAGTAGAACCTACTATCTGAGATGGGCAACCCATTTCACCTCCGGAAAGCTGCATAAAATTTTCCACAAATTGAATAAAAATTTGTCTCCACATAATTTTCACCCATTCATTATTTTATGAAGAAAAAAAAATTTTTTTTCACAGATCAGTTAGTTTTGCTGTTCAACGGCCCTAATCTAGAATATCCACTTTGTGATCATAGTGTCAAGGAGGTTTGAGTGTGAATGACCCTGAGAGAGCTCAGTTCAGATTCACAATGAACAGTCGCTTATCATCATTATTTTTGTTTAAAAGTTATCCCATTGTGTAATTTGAGGTCAAGGATGCAAAAATTACAGAAAGAGCTGGAAAATCATTTGTTTCTTGAACTATGAGCCACATACTATGACTACTCTCTCACACGTACTTATTAAACACAAGGTATTCTTTTCCTTTCAACCCACATCCCTGTAATGCCACCCACATAACAAAGCCCAGAAGCCCAACTCATAATGTCCGGTTGGTTCTTAAAGCTTTTTTTAACCAATTAATCTTATAGGTAAAGTGTAGGCCAAGTTCTTTAATTGATTTTATTTTAATTTTTTTTTTTACATAAAAAGTTCAGTAAAAATTGGATAAAGTAAAATGATTTTAAGCAGTAAAATCAATCTTATCAACATAGCACAAGGCTGACCAGAAACTCAGAGGTAGCCTACTCTGGAATATTTACATGATAACAGATTAAACCTTGCAGGAGAACCCAAACTATCCTTACAAAGTGTTCCCGTGATCTTAGCACGCATAGGCTAAAAGCAAAAACAAAAAACAAAAAAAAACCCAAAACAAAAACAAAAACCCAGAAAAAAATATTTATCAATATATTCACATATACGTTAAAATATAATACAGATTCCCCAGCACATGGGGTGGGGAAGAAGGGGTGCGCATGGGTCAGTGCGCTAACAGCACCGCCAAGTAGGAGACCCAAGTTAGAGAATGGGGGTCAGGCCTAGGAGACTGAGGGGAATAGCCTCTCTCCCAGGTCCCTGACAGTCTTGGCCCACCTACCCCAACAGCATATTGACTGTGGCCTTGTTTTGTCTTAAATGGAATATGGTTTCTTTACTTTGCATGACTCATATGGTTCAAGTGCCAAGAGTCATCACTGGCAACAGCCCTGACAAGGTTGTGGGAAATGGGTTGGAGCGGCCCATGGACTTCTCTTACTGAGTTAACTTTTTTTTGTCTTCCCACTCTAAACCGCCTTTGCTGACCCATTAAGTTTATTCCAAGTCTGTGTCTTCTTTGGGTTTGTAAACAGTCCCAAACTTCTGCATGTACTTTTTGATGTACTCCTTGGTTTTGTGTTTCACATTCTCATTGCACTCCAAATCTTCAGGGTTCTTACAGTATTTCAGCTCCTTGTTCATGACACCGTGAGTCAGCTGTTTGGAGGGCCCACCCCAAGGAAAAGGATAAAGGGAACAAGAAAGACCATGGTAGATAAATCAGTGTGGGGGTAAGCTGACACTGGAACTTAATCCTGCCATCTAAAGCCATCCAAGGATATAAGATACATTCTTCAAAAAGCCACTGTACCAAATGTGGTGACACTAGACCAGGCAAAGAGGGAAGTGTATAGATATTTTTGTCACTGCCCTAAGGAACCTGAAAGGTTTATAAGGTGGCTTATGAACAAAAAGTAGACTGCCTAGTGCTACTCAGCATCTGTGAACAAGCAAATGGGTAACTGAAGAGGGGAAACCCTCCCCCCAGAATTCCTAAGGAAGGAGAGGATTTTTGGCTTTAAATGACATTTATATGAAGCCTAGCTGCTAGCAGCTGCTAGCCAACCTTCCCTATCCTTGGGTACTCAAAAAGGGAAACTGTCTTATACTCCAGATCAAAGCTGGCAAAGGCCACAGCACTTTCAGTATGAAGGATATCCTGTAGGGCTCACCTGAATAACCAAACTCAGTGAAATGGGAGTAAATTGGGGGCCGGGGGCTGGGGACTGGGAGAATACCTTGCGGGCTAGATGCTTGAAGTCTTCAGTTGTGGTTATCCTCCCCACTTTGCAGTCAGGTTTCCGATAAGGATTCAGGCACTGCACGATGAACTGAGACATCTGTGATAGGGGAGGGACCCAACAACTGTCACCCCAGAAAGCTAACCACTCAGATATTCACAGAGTTATGTGAAATTAGGTAAAAATCTAGTCCCTCAAAAGGGCTGAAGTATAACCATGAAATACAAATCCTTGAGTGGTTATACCTTCTGGTCCCCTCTATTCTGGTTGAGAGAGAGAGAGATACCCTATATATATATATATATATATATATATATATATGGAATAGAAGGCAGAACTGATGATCTAACCTCACAAGTTTTGATTCCATCCTCACCTCTTTCCTGAACACTTCTTTGCTCTTCTTGGCCAATTCACTTGAGGTATCTGCTTCTGCGGTTTTGGGTTTTTTGGAAGACTAGAAGAAACATAAAACACAACATGGCATTCATAAGAAGTCAGCTCAAAGTTCTTTTGAAAAGCAGCTACTGACTTAAAATTTTCCCTAAATAAATGTATATCATGTGGAGATCTTGGAACTGGTCACATCTCTTTACTTCCAATGCGTAAAAGAACTGGATTAGATGAAGAAGGCTACACACGACACTCAACATGTGTTGCTCACACCAAGTATATTTGAGAAGGAAAAAATTCAAGTAAAGTGAGATATATAGTTACCCAACATATGATTTCCAAGACATTTGGTGTTGTCAGGGTCTAGAGGAATCTGCTAAAAATAACCAGTATAGAGTTTCCTAGGAAAAGTTACTCTGACTTTAAAGTCTACTCTCAATGGTATTAACATTCAGGGCCATTAATTTCCAAATAGCAGTTTTGCTACTCCCCTAGGTTTATAAGGAAGATAGAGCTATTGAAGAACAGTCCTTGGATAAAGATATAATTAAAAGCTTTCCTTATTAGGCACATATTCAGGTGATGCTGAAAATGCCCACTTAGGTTCTAGGTCTTTTTTTTAATTTTAATTTTTTAAAATTATTTTGAATTATCAACAATCACTTCCATAAGCTTTTGAGTTTTAAATTTTTCTTCCTCTCCCTCCCCAAGAGGGTGCACAATTGATATAGGCTATACATATAAATTCCTATTAAACATAGTTTCACATTAGTGATGTTTTAAGTAAGAATTAGAACCAACAGAGAGGACCACAAGAAAGACAAAAGAAAACAGAAGAAAAAAATAGCAAATAGTATGCTTTGATCTGCATTCAAACTCCATAGATCCTTCTTTGGATGTGGATAGTATTTTCCATTATGAGACCTTTGGAGATGTCTTAGATCCTTGTATTGCTGAGAAGGGTTAAGTCTATCAATATTAGTCATTGCTCAACATGGCTGTTACTGTGTACAACGTTCTATTCACTTCATTCAGCATCAGACCATACAAATCTTTCCAGGTTTTTCTGAAGTCACCCTGTCCATCAATTCTTATAGCACAATAGTATTCTATTATATTCATATACCACAACTTGTTCAGCCATTCCCCAACTGATGGGCATCCTCTCAATTCCCAATTCTTTGCCACCACAAAAAGAGCTGCTATAAATATTTTTGTACATGTGGGTCCTTTTCCCATTTGTATGATCTCTTTGGGATATAGTCCTAGAAATGCTATTGCTGAGACAAAAGGGTATGCACATTTTTATAGCCCTTTGGGCATAGTTCCAAATTGCTCTCCAAAATGGTTGGATCATTTCACAACTCCACCAACAATGCATTAGTGTTCCAATTTTTCCACATCTTCTCCAACATTTATCATTGTCCTGTTTTGTCATGTTGGCCAATCTGATAGGTGTGGGTTCTAGGTCTTAAAATGAAAATGGAATCATCTTTGATCACTAAGGAGAAAGACAATGTCATCTTCTAATGCCCCTTTACTGTATACCTAAACACCTGTGTCTCTTTAAAATCTTATAAGCACATTACTCCAATCCCCTGGATTAATATCTATATCCTTTTTTCCAAATAAGTTACACTGGACTTCACATGAATATCATCCAGTCTGAGCATTCTAATAAAATAGAAAGAATCAGGTGGTTGGACTTCCTGTTTACAGATGGAGAAACTAGCCAGAAATGAAAGTGACATCTAAAGGTAGATAAAAAAACCAGTGGCAGTTTAATTAAAGTGTACAAGAGACATTGTCCCCTAAGCCATTGTGTAATTGTTATTGGCCCAACTGTACCACTTCCAGACACAAATAGCTAATTCTCCTGAAAAAACCGTGGAAAGGCTAGTCTTAGAAGGAGAACAGGCAGCAATGTATTTAAGAACTGACACATGCTAGAAGTAAAGAAGTCTACCACCTCACCTTAGTGCACCTCTAATATATTGTTCTTTTCCGTGGAAAAAAAATAATCATGAGCTAGGTTCCTTGAATGCAAATAGTTAATGCAGAAAGGCCTAAAAGTGAAATTTTTATGCATACATTTATTGGTATTCAAGTATGTTGTTGCTATAGGGTAGAAGCAGTCACTTATCCTGAGAACATGGGAAATTACAGAATACTCTCTTCCTGTAACTTGGTTTTCTCTAGCAAAGAATATTTTTAGTGATTATTGATGGCTTACTTATATACAGTTCTGCCCCTCACAAATGTGCTACTCCCTAGCTTGGTGAATGCAGAGCTAAGAAAACAATATACACAACAATATAAATAGGAGGAACCACGTGAATGTTGAAAAATTACAAAAAACGAATATGAATTTGGAACTATGCCCAAAGTGCTATAAATCTGTGATACAAATTCAAACAACTCTGAGGTATCATCTCACACCTATCAGATGGGCTAACATGACAGAAAAGGAAAATGACAAATATTAGACGGGAGGTGGGAAAATTGGGACACTAATGCACTATTGCTGGGTTTTTAACTGATCCAACCATTCTGGAGAGCAATTTGAAACCATACCCAAAAGGCTATAACTGATCCAGAAATACCACTACTAGGTCTATATCCAAAAGATATTTAAAGAAAAAAAAAAAGACCTCTATGTACAGTAATATTTATAACAGCTCTTTTTGAAGTGGCGAAGAAAGAAAGTGGAAATTGAGGGGATACTTAATCAAGTGGGGAATGGTAGAACAAGTTGTAGTATATGACTGGGATGGAATACTACTGCGCTATAAGAAGTGATGAGCAGGATGCTTTTAGAAAAATTTAGAAAGACTTAAATGAACTTCTGAAGCAAAGTGAAGTGAGCAGAAACAGGAGAGAACATTGTACATGTAACCACGACATTGTACAATGATCAACTGTGAATGACTTAACTGTTCTCAGCAATACAATGCTCCAAGACAATGCCAAAGGACTTACAATAAAAAATGCTATCTACCTTCAGAGAAAGAACTGATGCAGTCTGAACGCAAACTGAAACATACTTTTTTCTTTTCAAACTTTATTTTTCTTGGTTGTTCATTTATTAGGGCTTTTGGTCTGTGTTTTCTTTCACAACATGACTAGTATGGAAATATGTTTTGCCTAACTGCACATGTATAACCTGTATCAGATTGCACACTGTCTAGGGGAGGGGGGGGAAGGAGGAGAGGAGAAAGGGAGGGAATTTGGAACTTAAAATAAAAAAAAATATTAAAATTGTTTTTATATGTAATTGGAAAAAAATTAAAATATTTTAAAACCACAAAGAACAAGCATGGCCCCAAAGAAAATATGTGACAAAACAATCCCAACCCTACTTCTTCACAAAGATGTCCAGGATGTGAAACATTGGCTATTTTCAGGCTTCTTCTTTTTTTTTTTTAAAAGGCAATTGGGGTTAAGTGACTTGCCCAAGGTCAAATAGCTAGTGTCAAGTGTTTGATCTGAGGCTGGATTTGAACTCAGGTCTTTCTAAATTCAGGGTCAGTGCTCTATCCACCGAACCACCTAGCCGCCCCCAGGCTTTTTCAATGTATGTAGTTTTACTGTCTCTTCTTTTTCTTTTCCTTTTTTAAAAATTATTTTTTTTTGATTTATCACCAATCACTTCTATAAACTTTTGAGTTTTAAATTTTTTTCCCCCTCCTTCCCCAAGATGGTGCACAATCTAATATAGGCTATACATATACATTCCTATCAAACATATTTTCACATTAGTGATGTTGTAAGTAAGAATTAGAACCAACAGGAGGAACCACCAGAAAGAGGAAACAAAACACAACAGAAGGAAAAAAAAAGCAAATAGTATGCTTTGATCTGCATTCAAACTCCACAGTTGTTTCTTTGGATATGGATAGCATTTTCTATCCCGAGGCCTTTGGAGATGTCTTAGATCCTTGGATTGTTGAGATGGGTTAAGTCTATCAATATTAGCACCTAACTGATCATGTTATTCCCTTCTTGAGTCAAATCTGATGAGAGTAAGGTTCAAACAATGCTCATTTCCCTCCCTTCTTTCCCTCTACTGTAATAGATTTTTGTGCCTTTTCCTGTAATGTAATTTACCCTTTTCTGCCTCCTCCTTTCCTTTTCTCTCAATAAATTTTCTTAGATCAGATTAATACCCTTACTTGGATCCATTTAACCCACCTGATTAGATTTTTTTCATCATTACATCAAAGTCAACTTATATCCACCCTCTTTATATATACCCCTTGAACATAGTATAATAACAATATAGTTCAAGAGTTACAAGTGTCATCTTCCCTTGCAGGGATGTAAACAGTTTGTCCTTATTAACATGTTGTATTTTTCTGTCCCGTTTACCTTTTTAGAGCTCTCTTGAGTCTTGTATTTGAAGATCAAATTTTCTGTTGAGTTATGGTCTTTTTATCAGGAAGGTTTGGAAGTCCTATATTTCATTGAATATCCATCTCCCCTCCCTGAAAGATCCTGCTTTTTGCTGGGTAGTTGATCCTTGGTTGTAATCCAAGTTCCTCTGCTCTACGGAATATCATATTCCACGCCGTACAGTCTTTTATTGCAGAAGCTGCGAGGTCCTGTGTAATCCTGAATGTGGTTCCATGATATTTAAATTGTTTCTTTCTGGCTCCTTGCAGTATTTTCTCTTTAACCTGGTAATTTTGGAATTTGGCTACTATATTCCTTGGCGTTTTCAATTTGAGATCTCTTTTAGGAGGTGATCGGTGGATTCTTTTTATGGCTATTTTACCCTCTGGTTCTAGGACCTCAGGGCAGTTTTCCTTTATGATTTGCTGAAAGATACTGTCCAGGCTCTTTTTTTTTAAATCATGATTTTTAGGTAGACCAACAATTTTTAAATTGTTTCTCCTGGATCAATTTTCCAGGTCAGTTGTTTTACCAATGAGGTATTTTACATTTTCATCTATTTTTTCATTCTTTTGTTTTTGTTTGACTGATTCTCGCTCTCTCATGGTCATTAGCTTCCATTTGCCCAATTCTAGTTTTTAACAAATTGTTTTCTTCTATTTGATTTTGTAC